TGAGTAATTTGATGGCACGACCATCTCCATCGACCGTGAAAGAAAAGACTATAACAAGATTTAACAGTGAAGACACCATCACTTTCGATCTCCCAAACCATCTCATCCCTAGCATTCAGCGACACATATCTCTTATCTAGCATTTCCATTAAAGCACACCATTGGGAAAAAAGGACTTTATTGAAACGGCTATAGGCCAAATAAATGTTCCAAGAAAGATTTTGACCCTTCTTTCCACAGCCTCACTGACTAACATATTCGTCCTCGTAACAGCCCCAAACAGTTTTGGGAAAACAAACTTCAGAGGGTATTCCCCTATCCATCTATGATGCCAATAAGAGATTTGGATACCATTTCCAGGATTCCATCTAAAATAACCTGTATAATTTGCAATCGACCTCCACTTTTGAGAAATGCCTTTCCTCTACCACCCCCAAGCCAAGCTCCAAATCTATCCACACCATACTTGGAAACGAGGATTTTGTGCCAAAGGTGGTCCTTTAATTGAAGACTGCGCCACCACCAATTGCACATCAGAGCTTGATTCACCAATTTAATTCTACGTATTCCCAATCCACCTTCTTTATTTGGAGTACATACTCTATCCTGTCTAAGAAGATGAAATTTCCTGACCTCATTATTGGAATCCTAAAGCAAATCCCGCATCATTTTCTCAATCCTTTGCGCAATCGAGGTAGGATTATTAACCACCGACATCTGATAGACTTGAAGATTAGTTAGACAGGCTCTCAACAAGGTCACCCTACCACCTAAAGACAGATACTTGTGTTTCTAGATATCAAGTCTAGATTTGACTCTTTCATGCACTTTATCCCAGACTGCCAAAGAGTCTTGGTCAGAGATAGGATTAAGATAAGTGATAGGAAAAGAACCCACTTTACACCCCATCACACTGGTCAATTCACCAACAACATTCTCCGCACAATTTATATCGATCATAGAATATTTGTTAAAATTTACCTTAAAGTCAATTGTGACCTCATAGATTTCCAAAAAACGAACAATATTCCTGACTTGAGAAGGATTCACATCACAAAATATTAGAGTATCATCTGCATATTGCAAATGAGAGATTACAATATCAAAATTTGCAATGCTGAAACCTTCAAAATAACCCACTCTCTCCACCTTGCTCAACATCAAACTAAAGCATTATGCATAAATAGTAAATAAAAAAGAAGAGATAGGGTCCCCTTGTCGAAGACCTCTAGTAGCCTTGAAGAAACCAATCGAGCTGCCCTTAAATAGCACCGAAAAATGAGCCGAAGAAAGGCATCCAAAAATCCAACTCCTCTACTTTTCACTGAACCCCATAACTTTCAAAATCTCCAACAATACTCCCTATTCAATACGATCATAAGCTTTTTCCATGTCCAGTTTAAATAAAACACCATGCTTCTTACTAAAGACCCGAGAATATATACATTCTTGTGCCAAAAGCACACTATCCGTTATTTGATGGCCCTTGATGAAAGTAGATTGAGTAGGCAGAACAGTTTTCAATCTTTCAACTAGGACTTTTGCAATTATTTTATAGAGACTTGTAAAAAGGTTAATCGGTCTAGTATCAGATAATTCAATAATTATGGATTTCATGGGAATTAAAGTCAGAAAAGAAGAGTTCACTCCTTTAAAAATATCTTCCCGAATGAAAAAACTCATGACGAATTCCAAAAGTTTGCCTTTAACCACCTTCCAGAATCTGTGGAAGAAGGATAGAGGAAAGCTATTAGGACTTGGTGCTTTATCCCCTAGCATCACAGAAACCGCCTTATACAACTCCTCCATAGAAACTTCTCTCTCCAAAAAAAAATGTTCCCCCACTAACAACACTTTAAAAGGGATTCCACCAAAAGAACGTGTAAAATTAACTTATTTGATAAAAGCCTTCTTAAAATGGCTAATGACTACTCTTTCTAAAGCAGCATCATCCTCATAATCAATCCCAGGAATAGATAAACCCGAAAGGTTGTTTTGGCGTCTTCCAGCATTAGCAACCGCATGCAAATATTTTGTATTAAGGTCCCCGTCTTTTAGTCATTTCGATCTAGACCTCTGCTTCCAATATATTTCCTCTGAACGACGCAAGTCTTCCAATTCTTTAAGTTTCAAATAATGGTCCAATAAGGATTGTTCTAATAAAACCCCACTCAACTAGGATTTTAATCTCAGCTAAAACTCCATCAATTTTTGCTCTGATATCAAACTTGTTGACTTTCTTCCAAGCTATCAATTTGTGTTTGATATTCAAAAGCTTTCTATGCAACTAGAAGTCCAACAATCCCTCCACAACCGTATTAACCTATGTCCCCCTAATCAACTCAACAATTTCTTTCTCCTCTAGCCAGCCCACATATAGTCTAAAAGGTTTCGAGCCACCTTTTAAAAGACTGGTATTCAGCAAAATAGGGCAATGATCCGAAGAGATTCTGGGGAGAGCCTTGACAAATGTTGAGGAAATTCCTCCATCCATTCCATCGAGATAAAAAATCTATCTAATTTGGACATAGATAAGTTTGTGATGTTTTTATTGGACCAAGTAACCTTTGATCCAATAGTAGGAAGATCCAACAAAGAAATATTCGCAATAAACCTATTAAACATCCTCGTTGAGTTGTTAATAGGGGTACAAGCTAAACATTTATCAGGCCACTGAATGAGATTAAAATCCCCTCCAACAACCACAGGATAAGAAACCTACTGAATGACAGAGTTGAGCTCATTAAGAAAAATTTCTTCAAGTGCAGACATAGTGGGCCCATAAACATTTAAAAAACCCCAAGAGAAACCAACTTTCGGACTGTTAAACCGGCAATAAAAAACAGTCTCTAATAATAATTTCAAAATTAACCAAAGCCTTCGGATCCCAAAGAACCCAAAGCTCTCCCGATGTATCAATAGCATCAATCCTACAAAAACTAACAGTACTGGCACCCCAAACCTTCCTAACCACAGACACATTGGGACTAGGAAGCTTAGTTTCTTGCAAAATTAAGACAACGGGTCTATACTTAGAAACAAGCAACTGGATATCTCTTTTCCTATTGGGATGTCCAAGACCCCTAATATTCCAAGGTAAAAAATCATTAGAAATTAAAAGGAGGTGGGTTAGAGGAAGAACCTGGTCCACCATCAAGGATTCATTAAGTTCATTGTCTGCGGCATAAGAAATTGAAGAGGAGTCCACATCAACCACTGTCTAGTAACAGAAAGCAATTGAAACCGCAATTGAACCTCCTTTGGGGATACCATGAGCCTGAAGCCTCGTGGAGGAGCGTACCCCTTTCAAGATAGCCTTATTTTTCTTGCCAGCCGCAGACTTTTTGGTAGGAATCTTTGGACCTGACTCCACCATAGAGCTCTTACCAGAGCTTTTTTCATGCACCAAATCTTTTTCAACTGCCATTCTCGTCCTTCTATGTTCCTTTATTTCCTCCAACACTAAGTTCAAAGGAACATCATCCATCCCCATATCCTCCAACATTCTGTCTATTAGTGGTGTCTCATCTTGAACCACCTCTTCAAACACCGGCACTTTAAACAAGTTAAAGCATAAACACCCAGTTGTAAGCTCCTCCTATACAGCCACAGGTGTCTCTACGATAATCAGGTCCAAACTATGGCCAGGTTCCTCAGATTTAGCATCTTCAACCGCAAGAGGCAGTGGGCTCGCAGGACCCTCGTCTACTTCAACAACCATAATTGTCAGTGGATCGATCATCAAAGGATCAAACCTTGTCCTTGATAGCCTTACCCCGCTCTTAGCAACAGCCAAACGACAAGGGAGATGATACATATGTAGCTTCCAAGCAGAGCCAACAGGAGGGCCCAGAGCCTCTGATGAAAACACAAGGCAGAGAGGAGGTTATTGGCACAAAGACTCAATAACAAGAGCGAAATCAAGATGGAGGAAAAGACTTGCTTCTTCACTTCAACCTCCTTCCAAAACACAGGGTAAGACAAAACCAGGAAGATGAAACCCAAAGGAAGGTTTCGTCGCCACATTGCGAGGAACATCTTTCGCAAAGATTTGAGTTTTGAGGGGAGCTTTTTGGGAACTAAAACCGCCGCCACGATAACAAGATTTGAGTTCATTTCTTGGACCTTCGTCAGTGCATCTGAAGGACTATCAAACGTCAAAAGGTCGCTGGATTTTGGACCATCGTGGTTGGAATCTCGCCAAAGTTCATGTGTAACCGCCAAACTTTTAGGCACACCCTGCCTAACTCCAATCGAAAAAACAGAAGGTTGTGATCTAAAGGATTCCGAGAAACCAGCCATCCATTCCAGGAATCTACCGATGGGTATCCAACGGTGACTAATCTTAGTAGTTACATTATTTTGAAATTTGAAAAATTATGCTCTGTTTCTAAAATTACTGCTCTTATGTTTCAGGTTTGACTTCTTCGGAAGAAGAATTCAGGCCACCGCTTTCAAATTTTTTGGTCTCGAAGTCCGCCCATTCTTCTCCATTGAGGGGCTCTCAGCAAACCGTACCCGACCCGTTGCCACCCCAACAATGATATTAATTAGTTGGGAGGCCACCTTCCTTACGTCACACGTCCCACGTTATGTAGGTGGCGGTGGTACGTGGGCGTCATTCGAATATAGCTATCTATTAACTTTTCTTTTATCATCAAAATGGACGGTTTCCATTGCATGTGGCATTTGCTAATTCGAAATCTCAACCGTACGATGAGAAGTATTCATTTGAGAGAGAGTGTTTGTTTTTAAGTCTTATTATAGGTGAGCATTGACTTGTGAGTTAAAGATTGGGAAGAGAACAAGAATAGTTTTTGCCTCCACGTCCCTTTCATCTCGACGCTAATTGTCTTCCCATGACGTGCACCCACCCCACGTTCCCGCCCTAAAGTCAACCAAATTGTTTCTCTCTCTAAACCCTTTCTCTCTCTAAACCCTCCCCCCATTTACAGACCCATCTTTCTTGAAATGGTTCCATCTTCCTTGAAATTGTTCCATCTCTCTACCCCTAACATCTTCCCTCTTGAAATTCTTCCATCACAAATCTCTCTCTCTCTCTCTCCAGTCATGAAGGTTCAGAGCAAGAAAACCCACAAAGGCAAGCCCGGGCCGAAGATATCTAAGGACTGTAGTGGGATCAGAAAGCCTGAAAAGAAGCAGCAGGTCATACCTGAGGAGAGATCTCGGCCACCCATCATCATCTACACCCAAACTCCGGAAATCATACACATTGAAGCTCAAGATTTCATGAGCCTTGTCCAAAGACTCACAGGAAAAGAATCGGGCTCGGTATCGAGTTCGGATATGATTTCCTCTTCTTCCTCTCTTTCGGGATCAGGTTCAGGTTCGGTCGTGAAACTCTCGGATGGTGCAGGGACCGACTCCGAGAGCCCTGCTTTCCTCTATCAACCATCAGTGCTTGGGGCCTTTAGTGAGTGTTTGAAGGCCACTAAATCTGATGATTTGTTTTCTTTCTATGACTCCCTTGTGGATGGTGGGGAAGATCTCTTCTCTCTTCTTTCTTACCATGAATAGAATTCCAATTGTTTTTCTTTTCCTCAAATTAACATTTTCTACCAAATGAACATGTTCTTCAATATTCTTTCATTCAATTTTTGTTATTTCAGTCTTTTCATGTGATGGGTTGAGAGAGCGCCCTTGAAGTGAGACTCAAGGCTAGAGCATATTCTCAATGGATGTTTAGTGTTCCTTTCTTTTTAGATCTTGTTATTCCTATTCCCACTGTTAATGTTTTCACTATTTTTTGTCATTATTATGCTATTTTCTTATTGTAGTTAAATTTATAATTGTAAAGTGAGTGGTGATCAAGGGCATGCCCAAGATTATGCAAGGTGGCTGGCAGGATGAGGAAAGCAAAGAAAAAAGCGGCATCCCTTAAAATGTTGGAATCGTATACTATTGAATCATTTATTTTTTTTTGTGCAAGGACGTCCTAATCTTTTTTAGCCATTAGATATGAATCTAATAGACTGAAATGTATTAGTAACCTTGAGAAATTTTATTTTGGACTTTATGCCCAATCAATAATACATCCTCAACCACCTAGTTTTATATCCAATGGTCAGTAATGACTATGACCCCCTTGCATCAAAAGTAAATTGTCTCATAGTATACAGTTCCCAAAATGTTCATGGGAATAGATTTCCAGGTATATGTCTCACCATCAAGGAGAAGTCAATCAATTAGGTAGTATCTCTCTAGAGGATGGCATGTATGGTAAGCTTGTCAAAACTATGACTTTTCATGGACAAGAACTTTGAAAAGTTTTCATACTTTGGCTATTTATTTTCGGAAAGGTTTATAAAGAGATCATTTATCTTTTGTATATAGAGTTCATAATCATTCTCACTCATTAAATGTTAACTTAGATGACTTGGGTGAGTCACGAAATCCAAAAAAAAAATTTTAACGTTATATCTGTTCAATAACACTCTTACAACCACCCATTTTGAAATTTAAGGCACAACAATGAGTGTGACCTCTATATACAAAGAATAAATAGTTTCTTTGTCGACAATCCATTTATATTTAGCCTTAAGTATTGCTTAGTTTCCCTTTAGTTTGAAGCTTAGATCCAGCGACATTTTTCCCTAAAAGAGTAGGCGGGGTAATTATCTACACAGACACAGATACATAGATGGATATAAGTTTTACAAAATATCAATCTGCAAACTGACCTTTTTCAGACTTTTACGCAAAACTAATGTCATTTCAACAAACTTTTACACTTATATTTCAAGGAAAAATATGTCCAGGTAGTTAAATGTCAGTCATAGATGTCGCGTCTTTGGCATATTGACATACCAAAAAACACCCATGGATAGATGCATCTATATTGCATGGTAAGGATGTGTTGGATGTGGCCTGTGCCTAGCTACTTGAGAAGTGGTAGGCATCCCTTGCAACAATTTATTGCAGCACACAATAAGGAGCATCTAATTTTTATAAGTAATCTAAAGGAAGCTAGTTGTATGAATATTCTTAGCAGCTAGATTAATGGATATTTTATGGACGGATATATTGAAAAACTATTGCATGAAAGAATAATCTCCCGCAAAAACTAAAAAACAGTAATAATCTATTGCCAATACTAACAAAACAACAAAAATCTATTGCCAATACCAGAAAAGTGTTCGGAGATTTCTTTGGAGTGAAATTGTTGTAAATTCTTCTTCGGAACCAGGGGGAATGCAATAATTCTACTCATCCGGCTAGGGGTGGCAATGGACCCGGGTCTGACCAAGGGGAATGCAATAATTCTACTCATTAGGCTGGGGGTGGCAATGGACCTGACCAAACCCAAGACCGACAAGTAGACCCTACCTCGGGTCCGGGTATGAGTCCAAATTTTGGACCCGAAAGGTTGGGTCCGGATCCAGTTGGACCCGACCTGAACATAAATGTTGTCAGTACTCTTGTTTCTTAGGATTTTTCAGTTATTGCATAAAATATTAAGGAATGTGGGTATTCATAAATGTTGTGCAATACTGTAAATGTTACCAATAATATGGGTATATGATAGATAAAAAAAAAAGTTGGTTAAAAAAAAAAAAAAAAGGGAAAAAAAAAGCTCGTACTTATAGGGTGGTAATGGACCCGACCAAACCCAGGACTCGATAGGTAGACCCGACCTCAGGTCTGGGTATGAGTCCTGGTCCAGCCAAACTTGACCCATTGCCACCCCTCCATCTGGCTTCGTGATTTCATGAATATCTACTCTCTTACAATAATATTACAATCGAATGCAAACTATTATTTGTTAGTTTTGGAATTTCCCTTGAGAAAAAGGGAAATTCCAAAAGGGAAATCTTGTGCCTTTGCTTGACTTTCTTGTATTTTATATTTAAATTAATGATAAGTCATACGTTACCGTTCAAACAAAAAAAAACAGGGTCTTAGAATTTCCCTTGAGTCTCTCCTATACCACAGTTAAGCCTGAATCAACATGTTGCTCAAGTACAAACAGAGTTCTGAATCTAGATATACCAGGTAAACACTGAACTCCACTTCAATCTGATTATTACAGAATCCAAATATCAGCAAAGTCGCAGCTCATCAATCCAGTTATTGTGTAATCTAGATATCAGAGAGGTGGACATCACAAAAAAAGAATATAGAAAACGTAATTTCAAAGGCCATTGGAATCACAAGATGCTCTCATTTTTTTTGAGGTGTTAAATGCCCGTTGTCAGTAAAAATCCTCGGATACAAAGGGTACACTCCCAAGTTACAACCAATTTGCTAAAACAGCTCATGAATAAAACTCATCTAAAACCATAGAGTTAGACACAATTTTGTCTCAGAGTTCGTAATTGTATTGAGAAACATTGCTTCGAACATCCATTATGATAACGGGAACATATAATCTCACTTTTTTCGAAGTGTTAAATGCCCTTTGTCAGTAAAAATCCTTAGATACAAATGGTCCCAGAAAGTACACTCCCAAGTTACAACCAATTTGTTGAAATGGCTTATGAATATATATTAATTGTCCCACTAAAAAACTCATTTAAAACCATAGTGTTAGACACAATTTCATCTCAGAATTGGTAATTGTATTGAGAAGCCCGGTTTTGAACATCCATTATGATAACAGGAACATATAAATCTCTTACTGGACCGTGCATGAGCTTTTGTATTGGATGGATTAATACTGTAAATAACTCAAGTAATCACTAATGTGGATAGAGAGGTACAAAAGGTATTAGGCAATTGGGATTGTGATATCCTAAATATAGATTGAGATTGGTATCATGTTGTACTTTCTATATAGCTGTAGATTGTGACTAATATCACAAGTTGTATTTTCTATAGATTTGGATAGTTTGTTATAGATTCCATAATTATGATCCCTACAATCTTGGAGTTTGTTGTGACCAAGTTGTATAGATCATGTTGTAATACTTAATTGAATGTCATATACCATTTATTCTCCAAAAATCTTAGGAAAAGAGAATTGAAATATCAAATTAATAAGAAATAGAGGTTTTTATAGAAGATCGATGAGGTAGCACCTCGTTGTACTAGATGTTATAGTATAAAATACAACATGTCACACATGAGATGACACATGTCCATTGCAATTCATGTCAAGCTGATGCAGGGAGGAGGAAGAAAGAAAATAAATAAATTATAAAAAATAAAGAAAAAAATAAAGGATGAAAGACTATGCCCTCTTTAAAATTTGCAAGGGAGTCCACCCAAAAGATATGTTTACAAGACCTAAAATTAGTTATTCTTGTCTTCTCTATTTTTTTTCTTGCCCATTACATAGAAAAAATTTAAAATCTAACTTGCTCCCTAAGAAGCTCTAATCAATACTAATTCATAACCTTTTATCTTTTAAGAATTATATTTCCAATTCCACCTCTCAATTTTTTATAATAAAAAATATAATGAAAAGAAGAACTCCAAAATCACTCCATGTTTAAATTTTAATCCCCCAAAACAATTAAAATTAAAAATTTTAAAAAACCTATTTGCATCATTCTCCCGGGGTTGCGAGAAGGTCGAACACGAGCTTGAAGACTCGAACTTTGAATCAAGGTTTATCCCCTACATCAGTATCTCTAGTTATTGATCTTCCTAATGAATTTCTCTGGTTCTTTAGCTAAGTGTACCTTCATCCTCTTCTTTAGGTATTCATGTGCACAATTTCTAGTTTCATTTGCAATTAGGTTGTTATTTTTTATTTTTTATATTGTTGGGAGATTGATTTAAGCTTGAAGTTAGTTTTGGTTTTCTTTAAGGGTACTTATGTCTTTTTTTTATTGCAGAGAATTGAGGGGTAGAATTGAACTTTTAATTCTTAAAAGATGAAGGGTTATGATTTAATATTGATTAGAATTTGTTAGGAGCAAATTAATTTTAAATTCTTTTCTATAAATATGAAATCAGACAAGAAAAATATAGAGAGAGAGAGGAAATTTTGATCTTAGGTTATGTGAAAAGATCTTTTTGGTAGACTTCCTCATAAACCCTCAGAGAGTATAATCTCTCCTATTTTATTTCTATCTTTATTTTCTAGTTTATTTCTTTTCTTTCACCCTCCCCATTGCATCACAAGCCCACATTAAAAGTACAAGAAGAGAGAGTGTGTATAGACTGGCCATGACATACTAATATAAACTAATACAGTCCATGTGGTCTAATGACCATATATAAGCTCATGATCACATATGACTACAATACTAATATAGTCTAAGGCTTATAGTAGTTTTCAAAAATAAGTACCATTAAATAAACTAAAAATATCCTTCTACTTCAAAGTAACTAGCCTCTCTCAAAAAATATATGTAAAGATAATGCAAGATACTCACCGACACAGTGAGTGGACGAACCTTGAACTATTTCTATTATTGATAATCCTCTTACATACCACACATTTTCTTTTAAAAAATTGTGGTTTTTTAAACCATAAATTAGGTCTAATCTCCATCCCCAACGGACGTAGTAAGGACTTCTGACTCTCATGAAATTGTGAAAAGATAAATATAGAGAAAGTATAAGCTTTTAAAACTCAAAAAGATAGGGTTTGTCTCTAGAAAATCTCAATTGCATGCTTATCTACCCATACTGGCTGCTAAGCTTTTGATGCAGTTAAAAGCTATCCATTACATACCAGAT